ATCATATCTGTTTCTTATGGCTTCGGAAATCAGTTTCCTTTCCTTTTAACTGAAAGAGAAGGGAATGTTTTTACAACTTGGTTAACATCTGCTCAGACAGACGAGGGGCCAGATAGAACTGCTTCATGGACTGCCAGTTGGCCATCCCTGATTTGCTGACATCATGTCGGAGAATGGCCCCAATGCTTGGAATGCGCTTAAGTATTACTATTAAGAGGGTTCTGTTAATTAATGCTCTGGGTCAACAACCGTAGCTGAATTATTAGCACCAGGAAAATAAATAAGTAAATAAATATACGTGCCTATTCCAACAGCCATTCTAAGACAATCACATTCAGAAGATGCAGGGTCACAGATTTCATGCATTATGTTAATAACGCACAGATTCTAAAATCCGTACTTTATTATTAACTACATTCCTCTTCTTGGTGTCGCTTCACGGAACATTAATTTTCACAAACTCACTACAGGAGAGCAATCTCTGCCATCACATCAGCATACAAATGACATCCGTCAAAGAACAGGGCTAGGAGTCGGCAGGTCTGGGAAACCTAGCCTCCTGTCGGATTTCTGTTGTTAATGTTTATGGATAGGCATCTGAATATTTCAGCACAGACAAGCACCATTCATTTCAATGTCTACCCCCACCCATCCTGAAGTGAGGGGGGGAGTTATATGCATTAATTTCAAGCTGTGGACACAACTCTATTCTATTCTTTTTATTTTCTTTTTTTTAAAAAAAGGCAGAATGGGTTGGCACAACTTACTATCCACCAAGTCAAACACAGCCCACCAGTCTTATCTGGTCTCTCGCTAGCAGTTCTATGGATCTCCCCTGTTTTGCATGACATGTTAACCAAGAACGAAAGGATGGTGGGGTAGGGAAGAGAATGAGAGCTGTCAAGAGTACCACTGAATGCAAAAGAGATTTAATATCAAAGATTGCATGCATTATGTTAATACTGAACAGAGATTCCAAATAATCGTATTTTGAATGGGTCTGAATGTACAAGCTCTACGCTGGGACATGGCAGTTTTTATGACAGACACAACTAAAATGCCACTTTGGAGTACCTTTTCAATCATTTACGTCTACTCTGAGTAACCCAGGAGGCCACAGAGCAGATTTAACTATCTTCATTGCTGATTTATCCTCAAGAAGAACTGGTATATTCAAAACATTTTAGTAATAATCTATGGAGCCACACCATTGATACATCCAGTTAAGCACTGCCTGTTTTGATAGGCAGTAGCTCTCCAGGGTCTCCAGCAGATAGGGGTTTTTTTCTAGCATCGGATCCCCAAGGCCTTTTAACTGGAGACAGTGGGAACTTTGCTAGAGACCTCTGGCACATAAGGCACACGTTCATCCCCTGAGACACAGTCCGTCCTGAACCCTTTAAAGTATCTTGGCCTTAAGTCACCTTCGCACCCTAAATTTTGGCGTTCTTCGTGGTCTTTTTTTGTTATCACAAACGTCAGATACAGTCAACTGCTTTGGTTTGGTTTTTTTAAGCACAGGAGATGGCACTTTATCCTCCAGAGAACAGTCAAGGGCTTCATATGTATTTTACAGCCCAAACCACCCACTCCCATGTGCCCAGGCCCCATAAAACAATTGGTGGTATCCAGCAGAGCTTCAGGGTTTGGGCGATTTCTCACTAGAGCTGCCTCGCAGCACAGCCCCGTTTGGCCCAACACAAACATGTCAATTTCACACCCGAGGCTGCGGGGCTGCATTTGACTCGGGGCTTCTCCCGATTTCCTCCGCAGTTTCATGATCCTCAAAAACCAGGATCACGAAACTGCGACCGCCCGAGTCAAATGCAGCCCCAGAGCTTCGGGTGTGAAATTGACATGTTTGTGTTGGGCCAAACGGGGCTGTGCTGCGAGGCAGCTCTAGTGAGAAATCGCCCGCAGTGTCCTAAACAAGTATGCAGAGATGCAAAATGCAAGCACAAGATATAACTTTACCATATGGAATTTCTCCATCTCTTGCAACTTTGAAACTTTTTTCCTGTTTCATGTGTCCAGCTGTGAGCATCCCTTGATGAAAAGTTGTTTGGGCTTCCAAAAGCAAGCTAAATCCTCAGAAGCTCTGAACCCTTTGGTTATTTATTTAGTACATTTTTATTTTGGGAGGGGCTGTGACTCAGTGGCAGAGCATCTGCTTGGCATGTAGCATGGTCCCCGGTTCAATCCCCAGTATCTCCAGTCAAAAGATCTGGCAGTAGGTGATGTGAAAGACCTCTCCCTGAGACCCTGGAGAGCGGCTGCCAGTCTGAGTAGACAATACTGACTGAGATGGACCAAGGGTCTGATTCCGTACAAGGCAGTTTCATGTGTTCATGTGACCTTTCTCTGAGCATGGGGCAGCACACATCATTCTCCCTTCTTCTCCATCTCATCCTCACATCAACCCTGTGAGGGAGGTAAGGCTCAGAAAGAATCACAGAGTTGGAAGGGACCTCCAGGGTCATCTAGTCCAACCCCCTGCACAATGCAGGAAATACACAGATACCTCCCCCTCCACACCCCTGGTGGCAGTGTCCCCTCTAAGCTGAGTTAGTGTGAGCTAGCTCATAATTTTTTAGCCTCCGGCTCACATATTTTTGTCTTAGCTCAGGAAGGATGGCTCCAGAGGAAACTAACTTATGCAGTGGCCAAATCGCTCACTCACAACTTTAATGCCAGTAGCTCACAAAGTAGAATTTTTGCTCACAGGACTGCACGGCTTAGAGGGAGCATTGGAAGTGACCGCTGTTCCACGCCCAGAAGATGACAAAAAACCGCCAGGATTGCTTCCTGACCCCAAAGTGGCAATCAGCAGTTCCCTGGGTGTGTAAAAAAGTGCAACAAGAACTAAGCACTGAGGCAACCCTTCCCCCCCACCACCACCATGATCTGCCTAAGTTCACAGAATAAAGATATGTTGCAGAATCATTTACTGCAGTAATTCTGTAGAAAATTCTCTTCTATTATTGCTCACACACAGGGTTGTTATTAGAGAGTCAACATGGAATGTTTCCTTCAAGAGCTGATAAGTAGTAATTGATAAGAATTGTGATTGCTACACGCTCAGATAAAGCAAATATTGTGACATGAATTGTTTACATTGCACAGCATTCCTTAGTGTGTGAGCGATAATAGAAGAGAATTTTCTATAGAATTACTACAGTAAATGATTTTGCAACATATCGTTATTGATACTTTGTTATTTTTGTCATGGATGTTGTTGTTGGATTTCCACTTCCTCCCGTGATCTCTCATTTTTGGCTTCTAAGTTCACAAAATGACTGGTCCAAGTGAGCTTTCAGGGCAGAGTAGGGGTTTGGACCTCGGTCTCCCTGATCCTAGTCTCACCCCTACACCACGCCAGGATTAGCAGTTGACCATAACAGAACAAGAGCACTTTGCACATTAAGCATGCTACGCTGATTTATTAATAACCAAAACAATAACTTCAGGCAACAGGGAATCCAGCCAGTAGTTCTATGGCAAGTTGAAATAGGGACACGCATCAGTTTAAAAAGCAGAGAACTTGCATCAGGAGTTGATTCCTAGGGCTGAACCATGGGTTTGCAAACCCCCCTCCCCCACCAACCACAACCAGCTCCTCGGCCATAATGTGGGCTGTGCAAATGAAAGAATGGTGTTGCAATCTGAATCCACTGCAAGAATATTTTAATGTGCTAAACTCCTTCAAACTTAGGAATTCTAAAAGCAACAAAAAGGGATCAAGAGGTGGAGGCATCTTTCATTCAAGGAAAGCTAAACATGGGAGTCTTTGTTTAGAAAAGAAATGAAGTAGAGGAAAGAGTTTCATAAAAAATGAATGGCACCACAACATTGGATAGAAGGAAATTTTGCTCCCTCTCTCATCACTTGGATAACCTCCCAAACTCTGTGATTAAGTTGCTCGGTGGTAGATTCAGGACTACCAAATGGAAGTATGCCTCTGCACAACACATACTGAACCTATGGAATACGCTGCCATAACATGTAGCTTCAAAATACTGAAGAGGGGACCAGATAGGACAGGTCTATCAACAGACACCAGCCATGACAACTAAATGGAACCTCTGTTTTCCAAGACAGTGTATCCCTAGATACCATGTGTTGGCAAAGAAGAGCAAGAAATGACCATCTTCTTAGACCTTGTTGGCTGCTGGAAGGAGAGAGAGCTGAACTAAATAGACCTGGATTTGACCTCAGCAACAGGCTTCCTGTATTGGCTTCAGACTGAGAAATGCACGCATGCTTTTCCCACTTTGGAAACCTTCGAGGATACCTGCAGATCTGAATGTATGAAGAGGTTTCATTGTGTTTACGAAGACCAGGGATTCCTCACTACAGGTGTTAAAACAGAACAGCTAAAGTAGGGAAGCTGGAATGGTATAGTCCAATCTCATCTGACCTTGGAAGCTAAGCAGGGTCAGTACTCGGATGGGAGACCACCAAGGACGACTCTGCAGAGGAAGGCCATGGCACCTCTGCTTCTCACTGGCCTTGAAAGCCCCTGGTTGGGGTCGCCACAAGTCGGCTGCCACCTGACGGCACTTTACACACACAAACTAAGGAAACTGCATCATCGAACATTATTGCTCTTCTGTGTGGGGACTGTAACCATCTGAATTTGACATAACGCTGAACCCCGGACTTCTTGCTTTTCATGACCCTTTGACCCTGCTTGTTTATAACACGTTTTGCCATACCATTTGTGCACACGCGCATGCGTGTACAGTCTCCCAACAAAGGAGTCACTGCACACATCTGAGAAGTGGATTCTGGAAGAAAAGTGTGTGAAACAGTTCCACCAGGCTCACATCTGTCGACTTCAACAGGCTTTGCATGCACAGCTGTGCGCCAGAACTACAGCCCAGCAACGCTCTAGGCTACAGACATCCACCTCCACCAGCTAGAACGCAAAGCACAGGAGAAGAGCATTGGGCAGACACGGGGGGGGGGAGACTCTTCTTCGGAGGAGGAGAGCTTTTTACCTTGCAACTGAGCGGAGAGGGACTCCTGGTGCTGCTGATACTTGAGGGCCACCGCTTCAGCCTTCCGCAGCTGGTTCTGCACCTCGTAGTAGAGCATCGCCCCGTAGATGAAGCCGAAGACCACCGTCAGGAGCAAGAGGGTCTGCAGGATCCGCTTCTGCTTTCGGGAGCACATCCCGTTGCCCATAGTCCCTTCCGCCGGGGATCCGCGCGTCCTCAGGCTTCACTCGGAGACCGCCGTCAGCGCGGGGCAACTGGGACCGCCGCGCAGAGTTTCAGCCCCGCCGGCCGCGGCTCCTGCCATAGACCCCCGCGCGGCTCCCGGGAACCCGCAGCCAACTTAGCTCGGCCAAGCATCGAAGGTCATGCTGTTGCCGCCGCCAGGCTGGAGAGGGGCGAGGGACTCGGCCGGCGGTGCTCTGGGCGGGCGGGGAGAGACTTTCCCCAGGGCCAGGCGGCGAGGGCGAAGGCGTGGCTCCGCTCGCTAGGCAGTCTTGCCCTCTGCCCGCCTGGCGGACTGCCCGGTCACCTTTCCACGGAGGCTGAGCAGGCAGCTGCTGCGGCGCGCGGACTCGCTCAGAGGGAGCCGCGGGGCATCTCCGGCCAGCGGACCGCTCCGGCGCCGCACTTTGGGGGGCGCGCCTCTAGGCAAGAGCGCTCCGGAGCGGCTCTTTCGCTGGGCGAGCAGCCCGCCGGCGGGTCCTCCCGAGCGCTCCAGCGACGCGCCTCGAGCGGCTGTGGAAGAGCCTTGCAAAAGCCGTCCCCTCCCGAGCGAGATTCCTCTTGGGAGATCTCTCTCGTGCCCCCCCCCACCGCCCCAGGGGGCTGAAGTTTGTAGGTGCAAAAACTGAGAGGGGAAAAAGAGGGGGGGGGACTTCCTTTCCCCCCGCCCTGCCTTGGCCACCTTCCAGTCCAGCTCTTTCTTACGTGTCACCTCCACTCTTGGGTCGCTTGCTCCAGCGGGATCCCCGAAGGAAGTCCCGCTCCGGCCTCGGCCTCATTGGGCGCAACCTCGGGATTCTCCCCACCCGTCGGGGCGGCAACCCTGGCGCCGATTGGCCGCGCGCCGCGTCAGTCTGAGGGCCTTCTTCCCCTCGCTCCCCGCCCAGCACTTTTCCCCAGTCTGGAGCGCGCAGGAGAGTTGAGGGAGTGGGCGGGGCCGCGTCTGGATTCAGCTGGGGGCGGGGGAAGTTGTGTCCTGCTGTGTGGACTCTTTGCGTCCTTTTGTGTGCGTGCATTAGTGCATTCCGGCTCTCGAAAGCGCAGCGTGCAGATGTATCGGACACGCCTTTCCATTGTGGAAGTGCAATTAAACCATCTCTGGGTTGGACTCTGTTACCAGTGTTCCCTCTAAGCTGAGTTAGTGTGAGCTAGCTCACAGGTTTTTAGCCTCCGGCTCACACATTTTTGTGTTTGCTCAGGAAGGATTGGGCTCCAGAGCAAACTAATTTATGCAGTAGTCAAATCGCCCCCTCACAACTTTAATGCCGGTAGCTCACAAAGTAGCACTTTTGCTCCCAAGGCTCTGCAGCTTAGAGGGAACATTGGCTGTTACTGACTTTTTAGATGTGTCTTTTGGCACAAGGATGAGTCTAGGGATGCCAGCCAGGGACACCCCCCCGCTCATCTCCAGACTACAGAGATCAGGGGGGGGGATGGGTGCTTTGAAGGGTGGACTCAATGGCATTGTACCCACTGAGGTCCCTGTCCTGACCAGGTTCTACCCCCAAGTCTCCAGGAGTTTTCCAACATGGATCTGGCAATCCTATGCCCCCACATCCCCTGCTGGTGGCCAGGGGGGTCCTGGCAAAAGATGCAAGCCCCTCTTAGCAGTGAAATCCACTGAAAGAATCTGGGTCAGTCATTCTCAGCCTGCTCTACCTCACCAGGCTGTTGTAAGGTCAAAGTGGAGGAGGGAACCACCCATGCCACTCTTAGCTGCTTGGAAGGGAAACTGTGATGAAGCTAAAGGAAAGGAGTCACTGCACACATCTGAGAAGAAGCTAAAGGAAATATTTCCCCATCACGGCTTTTCCTCCACACCGCCCCTGGCCTTGGGCTCTTTTAATGAAGCTGAGCAGAGTCAGCGCATGCAGGGAAGAGAGAGGGACTTTGTGTCCAGTGGCTATTGAGTTATATGGGAGTACTAGGCTTCCAGCTCCTCAGACCTGACTGACAATAAAATAAAAACTGCAGAGATCGAATACAACAAATAAGTTATCCCATAACATTCAAATTCCGTGAGTTACAGTAATGTGCACGGGAGTGCTTCTCAATGCACAGCCCCGTTTAATTTACAGGCTGCCCTAACGATTTGGGATAAACCTAACTCCTCCATCCTGTGCACGGTTCTCTTATCATTTGGCATCCGTCTCAGAAGTCTGCAGGACTACTGGGACTCTTTCCTATCTGAAGACAGCGTACCTTTGAAAGGGAGTTCTTTCTAAATTCGTACCACAGCTAGCTTTGTGACTAGAACACATTGTGCAACGTGGATGAGAACAGCAAACACAAAGTGAAGGTTGGTGTAAAAAAAAAAAGAGGGAAGCGACAAAAACTGTGGACTGGAAGGGTTATAAACTAAGACATGGGATGCTGCAAATGAAAGTGAAGATTGGTACCCTGACCTGGGAGGCTCAGGCTAGCTTGATCTCGTCAGATCTCAGAAGCTAAGCAGGGTTGGCTCTGTTTAGTACTTAGATGGGAGACCACCAAGGAAGACCAGGGTTGTGATGCAGAGGGAGGCCATGGCAAACCACATCCCAACGTCTCTTGCCTTGAACACCCTACAGGGTCGCCACAAGACAGCTGTGACTTAATGGCACTTTCCAGAACCCCCCCCCCCGACTTTCACCAAGTTTGAAAGTGAGCCCTTGAGGGGGGCTAGCTGTCTGCCCAGTTGAGTGGCTGTTTTTTTTAAGCTGCAGGAGGAACCTTGCCCTTCAGTCACCAGGATGCCAATAGCACAGAATGCTGCCTGGCTGAAGGACAGGGATAAAAAAAACCTGTACCTGTCAGATGGGAGGACAGTTTCAGGGTTAAAACAGCAAAGGATGAGGCTGGATGTTTCAGCCTACAGGTTTCTCGGGGGGGGGGGGGGAGCCCAAACTCTCCAGAGATACAGGAAACTGTGGGGGGACCAACCCCCTCTAAAGACAGGCCTTTAAAGCAAAAGGGAAGTCAATGAGGCAGGCTGGTCTCTCTCCGGGCAGTGCAGAAGCCAGCTGGTGGAAAGGAGGAGGACACAATGACCTTTGAACCCCATCCCCTTTCTGTAGCTGATGCCTTAAGTGAGCAGACAGTAAGGCTGCCGATTCGAGGTTGGGAAATTGCTGGAGATCTGGGGGTGGAGCCTGAGTTGGGCAGAGTTTGGGGAGGGTCCTCAATGAGGTATAAGGCCATGGAGTCCACCCTCCAAAGCAGCCATTTTCTCCAGGGGGAGAGATCTCTGTAGCCTGGAGGTCACTTGTAATTCCAGGAGGTCTCCGGGCCCCACCTGGAGGTTGGAAACCCTAACCTATAGACTGTTGGCATGCAGAGGAACAGAGCACCACCTGTTTAAAGAAAATAACTCGGTTTATTAAAGAAGACATAAACTCTGATAGAGCAGAGGAGAGGGAGGGAGGCTTAACTGACTAACTGCCATGAGAGACAGGAACGAAAGGGGGAGGGCTCAGTTGGAGCAGGAAGTCTCCAAAGAGCCAATCAGGAGACAGGAAGGACATAATTTGAAATTGTGGGAAGTCCCTAATCTAGCTATGCTAACTAGTGGTCCTTCAACTGTCCCCTATAGGCTGTTGTTCTGATCTTCTTCAAGTAGGTGCATTAATAGACTTCTTATATTCCAACACAGACGGGGCAGTAGACTGCCAGAACAGAACCAGAGTGTCACAGTTGTGTATCCACTACTCTATTGGGTACAAAAACAAATACAGGCCCCACCTGGAGGTTGGAAACATGGGCCGGATATCGCGGGGGGGATATCGAGGGGGGGAGGCATGGCTGTTTGCCCTGGAGCGAACTACCGTGCGGCAGCTGGATCAAACATCCCGCCCGACATCCCATGGTTGGGGGGAGGTGCCGATCATACCTCACTCCTGCGGCACGGCAAAGAAGTGGCGCCGCGGTGGTTGTGTTGGTTTTTTTAACCCAAGTGTTCGCATGCGCTGTTGGGTGCTTGTGCGCACCCGTGAAGACTTGACAAAAAAAAACTTTTCGCGACGGGACATGGGCGGGCGCCGGACGCCACGAGCTAACACCGGAAACGTGATCTGATGCCCGCCCTTGCCCCACGGTTTCCGGAAACTAGTACCTCGGAGGTACTAGTTTTTTACAGCGCATCTTCAGAGTGAAGCCTCGGGTGCGCCACGGGAGCTCTATGCTTCCCAGATGTGGCGGTGAGATAGCACCCGGAAAATCCACCTATCTTCCGTCTCTCTAGCTTGCCTAATGCTCCGTGTGACCGGGGCCACAATAGTGTCATAAGTGTCTGAATTACAGATCAGATGCCAAGCAAGTACGTTCCTATTGACAGGAGCCCATTTGCTTTGGATAGTGGTGCACCACATGGCCACACGGAGGCAACTCTGGATCTGCTTCAAACCAAATATTCCAAAGCATCACTTACAGACACAGATAACCTGGAAAAAGAGAGAGATTTCTTCACTTTCACTTTCTTGTTCATCCACCTGGGCCACAAAATGACCACAATTTACCATTTCACCCAGGTAAATTGTGTTTTAGGAAAGGTGCAGCACAGACACATTCCTGCCAGTGAGCTGCCCTGTTCCGAAGTATATCTCTGGCACATGTTCCAGAATGTTTTTTTAATGTGTGATTATAAACACACAACAGGGAATGAAACTGGTTCTCAGACCTTCTTATGTGTGTGGACCAGAGTGGTGTTTTTCTTGAAGTTGATGTGCAAGAGAAAGAAACTGCCAAGACATGATGTGACCTGTCTGAGATCTGCTAACTTTACTTTCTCCACTTATTTCCTTGCATTTTCAGGTGTAGTCTGAATGGGGTCCTGCAGACTGGGCTGGTATCACAATATTGCAGTGGCCTCTACGAATCCACCCTGTCTCTTGGATGTGCTTACACACACCTGTATACACAGGCCTTATTTACAGAGCTGGAATGTCTCCCCGGGTTAATGTGTATACAGAAGGCTATGTAAATACGCTGGTGGTTTGGATTGTCTTTGAACAACCGGCTTTTAGATTTCCTGAAGCAGGAAATCTGCCACGCTAATGAGTCGCGCCCCCCCCCCCCAACACAATCCAATAAATTATAAGAAATGGTAACTTTGGACGCTTACATAGATGGGTTTTGGGAAAGGCTGAGATTCATTAGATGTCCCAACAAGAAACAGCAATCCTTTAAACACAAAGGGGGATGAACAATAGAGGAAGCTGGAACATCCTGCCCAGTTTATGAGCTTCTAGGCCAGGGGTGGCCAAACTGTGGCTCGGGAGCCACATGAGGCTCCTTCACACATATTGTGCAGCTCCCAGCAGGCTCCTCATCTACTGTTCTCTCTTTCTCTCTCTCTCCCTTCCTCCCGCTCCCTCCCCCATCTATCTGCTTTCTTTGTTTCTCTCTCTCCCTCTCCCCCTTCCTCGCTCCCTCCCCTGTTTGCTCTTTCCACCTTTTTCTCTTTTTCTTCCTTTCCCCATCTATTTGCTTTCTTTGTTTTTTCTCTCTCTCCCTTTCCACCTCTCTCTTTCTCTCTCTCTTAGACAAATAAATATCATTAGGGAACAAATAAATATCATTGGACAAACAAATATCATTACCAATATCTGTTTTTACCCCTTTTGTTTTTATTTTTGGCAGTCTCGTTTAATGTGAATAAGAATCAAATTTTCATATTTTTCAGTAAAAACATGTGCGTAATATTTGTTCATGTCCTGCGGCGCTCAAAGATCTGATGTTTATTCACTG